TATAAATAAAGTGATATATAGTAATAATTGCAATAATTGCAGTTGAAGTAAAAGAAATAATATATTACTTGGCAAAAGTTTTAAAGAAATTTTCTACTATGTTATACACTTATTATATTATAGTTATATAGTGTCTATTATATTAAATACATTAGACATATCATGTGCAGTTTCAGGAGGAGAAGCAATGAAATTAAGTAAGAATGTTATGCATGAAATTGTCAGTGCATTTCCTGGTATAGATGAGGCAATGAGTTATGCGGAAGTTATGAAGTAAATTTACAATTTTTTAAATATTTTTCAATTTTTATGAAACACTAATAATAAAATAAATTTTCTTTGTAGTGAATTAAAATCACAGATCTGAAATCTATTTTCTATTTTCGTTTTTTATTTTGATATCTTTATATGATGATTCTAGGCTTGTAAAAGGAATGAATTTTTCTGTTGTGGTGTTTGATACTGCACCTACTGGGCATACATTAAGGCTACTATCATTTCCACAAGTAATTGAAAAAGGATTGGGAAAATTGATGCGTCTAAAAATGAAGATTAGTCCCTTTATCACACAAGTTAGAATTAGTCCATTATTTGATCTAAAAAAAATTAATATACACTTATCAAGTATATATACTTATCAAGTATATCAAATATTGTTCCTGTATTATTTAAATTGAAAAAAGATTTTTCTATTATAGATAAGTTCATTGTTGGGATTAACGGATTTTAATGTGGACACATTCTCTAATAAAATGGAAGATATGCTTGCTGTCATTCAGCAAGTTAACGAACAGTTTAGAAATCCTGATCAAACGACTTTTATATGTGTTTGCATAGCAGAGTTTTTGTCGCTTTATGAGACAGAACGACTTGTACAAGAATTAACAAAATATGGTATTGATACCCATAATATTGTAGTGAACCAACTATTATTTTTAAAAGAAGGAGATATTCCTTGTCGGCTATGTCTTGCAAGGCATAAAATTCAAGATAAATATTTAGATCAGGTAACTAACATTGTATTTACGAATAATATTATTGAAATTTATTGTTTTTTGAAGTTTTTTTTAGATTTTAATAACATTTTATATTTATCATTTTATCAAAGCACAAATCAGATAAAGTACAAGATAAAATTCTCTAAATTAATAAATATTTTTTTTCCTTTTAAGATAATGGATCTTTACGAGGATTTTCATGTTACAAAGCTTCCGTTATTAGAAAGGGAAGTACGAGGAGTTCAACAGGTCAGAGAATTTTCGGAAAATCTCGTTAGACCGTACAAACCTTAGCATTTATGTAATAAATGTTTAATAACAATATAATACTTTACACCTAATTCAAGGTTTTTATACACTTGCAACCTCGCGCGTTGGAAATTTGTATAAAAAAAAAGTACACCTTTAATATACTGCTCGATTAAGATATTTGTTATTGCACGTGTTAATAAATTCAATGTTACATTCGCATGCACTATATATTTGCGATATCTAATTTGTATAATACAAATCAGTTTAAATCATAGCATTAATATTACAATTTATTTATT